TAAACAAAGACTGTAACAGCATAGAAGAAGGGCATTACAATAATGATAAAGGGGTCAATTTAATAAGAGGATATTATCATTAACATATTTGCTGCTGATACAGGAACACCTAAATGTATAAAGCAAATATTAACAGAAAAAAAGAGAGAAATTGATAATAACACAAAAATAGTAGGGTACTTACACCATACTTACATTAATGGCCAGATCATCCAGACAGAAAATTAGTAGGGAAACACTGGTCTTAAATAATACAATAGACCTCTTGGACTTAATGTATATGTACAGGACATTACATCCAAAAACAAAAGAATACACATTCTTTTCAAGTGCACATGAAACATTCTCCAGGATAGAACACATGCTAGGCCATAAAAGAAGTCCCAGCAAATATGAGAGGATAGAAATTATATCAAACATTTTTTTCTGACCATAGCAGTACAAAACTAAAAATTTATTACAGAAGGAAAAATGGGTAAAGAGCAAATACTTAGACACTAAACAGCATGCTATTAAAAAACCAATGGGTCAGTGAAGAAATCAAAGAGGAAATGAGAAAATACCTCAAAACCAAAGAAAATGAAAATGCAGCACTCCAAAATCTATGGGGTACAGCAAAAGCAGTTCTAAGAAGGAAGTTTATAGCAATACAGCCCTTCCTCAAGAAAGAAAACCACCTTACCTACCACCTAAAAGAATTAGGAAAAGAAGAACAAACAAAGCCCAAAGTCAGCAATAGGGAGAGAGTAAAGGTTAGAGGGAAATAAAGATCAATGAAAACAATAGAAAAGATTAGTGAAACCAAGAGCTGGCTCTTTGGAAAAATGAACAAAACTGGTAAAGTTTAGTCAGGATCACCGAAAAAAAAAGAAAACCCAAGTAAATGAAAGGAGAACTAACAATGAAAATCACAGAAATACAAAAGAATCACAAATAGTTATATGCCAACGAATTGGACAACCTGGAAGAAATAAGTTTCTAGAAACATACAACCTGTCAAGACTGAGACAGAAAGACTTACACAACTTGGACAGACCAATCATTATAGTGAAATTAAATCTGTAATTTTAAAACTGCCAGCAAACAAAAATCCAGGACTGGCCAGTTTCAAAGGAGAATTCTACCAAACGTGTAAATAACAGCTGATACCTAACCTTCTCAACCTATTCCAAAAAAGTGAAGAGGTCAGAACACTCTCAGATTCATTCTACAAGACCACCAGTAATGACCCTGATATCAAAACCATGCAGAGACACTACAACAAAAGAAAGTTACAGGTCAGTATCTTTGATAAATATAGATTCTAAAATCCTCACCAAAATATTAGCAAACTGAATCCAAAAATATATTAAAAGGATTATATACAGTGATCAATTTGAATTTATTTCAGAGACACAAGGATTGTTCAGTATTTACAAATCAATTAATGTGATAGAGTACATTAACAAAAGGAAGGATATAAATCACATGGGAAGGAGATAAATCTATTATCTCAATAGATTGAGAAAAACCTTTGAAAAAGTTTATTATAAAACTCTTCATCTGAGTGGGTATATAGAGGGAACATATCTCAACATGATACAGGCCACTTATGACAAATCCAAAGCTAACATCATATTCAACAGTAAAAGCTGAAAGCCTTTCTTCTAATTCAGGAACAAGACAGGGATGCCCACTCTTGGCACCTATTTAGCATCATATTGGAAGTTCTAACCACAGCAGTAGAACAAGGAAGATAAATATGTATGCAAATGTGAAAGAAGTAAGTCACTATTTGTAGATGAATGATACTGTATATAAAAATCCCTAAAGCCTCAATCCAAAAACTACTAGAACTAATAAATTGTGTAAAATTACAGAATATGATTAATATACAGAAATATGTTTCTTTTACATACACTAATAATGAACTATCATAAAAAAAAAACTTCTTTAAAATCACATCAAAAAGAATAAAACACTTAGGAAAAAACTTAAAGGTGAAAAACCTCTGCTCTGAAAACTGAGACAGTGATGAAGGAAATTGAAGATGATGGAAAAAGTGGGAAGATATCCTGTGCTCTTGAACTGAAAGAATTAATATTGTTAAAATCACTATTCTGGGTCATACTACCCAGAGTAATCTGCAAATTAAAGGCAATCCCTGTCAAAATAACCATGTCATTTTTCACAGAACTAGAATAAATAATCCAAACATTCATATAGAACTACAAAAGACCCCCAAATTCCCAAAATAATCCACAGGAAGAACAGATCTGGAAATATCAAGCTCCCAGAATTCAGACTGTACTACGAAACCACAGTAATCAAAACAGCCTGGTACTGGCACAAAAACAGACGCATAGATTAATGAAACAGAATGGAGATCCCAGAAATGAACCCATGCATCTATGGTCAACTAATCTACAACAAAAGAGGCAAGACTATACAATGGAAAAAGAAAGTTGGGTTGGGAAAACTGGACAGCTTCATGTAAAAGAATGAGATTGGAACATTTCCTCACACGGCATACAGGAATACTCAGTGGATTAAGTATATACATGTAAGACCTGAAACCATAAAGAGAACATAGACATAACACTCTGTGACTGAAATTGTAGCAATATTTTTTTGAATCTGTCTCCTAAGCAAAAGAGATAAAAGCAGAAATAAACAGATGGCATCTAACTAAACTTAAAAACTTTTGCACAGTGAAGGAAACCATGGATAAAATGAAAAGACAACCTGTGAAATAAGAGAAAATACTTGCAAACAATTTGACCAACACAGGGTTAATATCCAAATATATAAACAGCTCATACAACTCCATATTAAAAAAAAACCCCAATCAAAAAATGGGCAGAAATGGAAATAGACATTTTTCCAAAGAAGACATAGAGGTGGCCAGTAGGCACATGGGAAAAAATGCTCAATATCACTTAGAGAAATGCAAATCAAAACTACAATGAGGTATCGGCTCACAGTGGTCAGAGTGACCATCATCAAAAAGTCAACAAATAAATACTAGAGAAGGTGTGGAGGAAAAGAAACTTTCATACACTGTTGGTGGGAATGTAAATTGGTTTTTACAGTATGGAAAATATTATAGCGTTTCCTCAAAAACCTGAAAATAGAACTACCACATGACCCAGCAATTCCACTCGAGTGTATATATCCAAAGAAAGTGAAAACACTAATTTGAAGAGACAGATTGCACCCCAGTGTTCATAGCATTATTTACAATAGCCAAGATACGAAAACAACCTAAATGACCAACAGATTAATGGGTAAAGAAGATGTGGTATGTATGTACACACACACACGCACACACGAATATTATCCAGCCATTAAAAAGAATGAAATCTGCCATTTGCAACAATGGAAATGGACCTCAAGAATATTCTGCTGTAAAAAAAAGAGAAAGACAAATACTTGCTTTGTATCTCTTATATGTGGAGCCTAAAAAATAACAACGGGATATATAGCAAAACAGTAACAGACTAGCAGGTATAGGAAGCTAAACTAGTGGTTACTACTGGGGAGAGGGAAGTGGGGAAGCCAAGATAGGGGTATGGGATTAAGAGATATAGACTACTATCTTCAGGATTTCCCTGGTTGTACAGTGGTTAAGAATTTGCCTGCCAGTGCAGGGGACAGGAATTTCATCTCTGGTCTGGGAAGATTCCAGATGCCACAGGGCAGCTTAAACCAGTGCAAAGACACAATTACTGAGCCTGCATTCGACAGCTACTGAAGTCTACATGCTCCAGAGTCTTTGTACCTCAGCTCCTGAGCCCACAGCTGCAGCTCCCAACACCCTCATGCAGTGGAGCCCACGTGCCACAACTATAGAGTCCATGCACCTCAACGGAAGATCCCCTGTGACGCAGGGAGGATCCTGTATGCCACAGCTAAGACCCAGTGCAGTCAGATAAATGGATATTCATTATGTAAATACCTTTGGAAAAAGAACTGGGTGGTTCTAAAGGCTGGTTCCTCTCCTGCTCTCCCCAGGTACAGTCAGGACAGTGTGTGTGCCAAGAGCAAGACTGCAGCCAGAATGTGTGAATTCAAACTCACTTTCACCACTTTTAGTAGCTGTGTAACCTTGAGCTCCTCATCTGTAGAGTGGAGATAATAATTGTTCCTGTCCCAAAGGATTATTATGAGCAGTAAATTAATTAATATGTATAAAGTCCTCAGACTTGAGCATGAACTCAAAAAGAACATTGCTATTATGAACACCTAGTGTTAACAGTGATAGCAGCTGTTAGGCACATGCAGGAGACCTGGGTTTAATCCCTGGGGTGGGAAGATCCCCTGAAGGAGGGCGTGGCAACCCACTCCAGTGTTCTTGCCTGGCGAATCCCATGGATAGAGGAGCCTGTTAGGCTGTGGTCCGTGGGGTCACAAAGAGATACGACTGGGTGACTAAGCACATGCACATAAATGGCAGTTTCAGGTAGCCAGTTGCTGAAGCCAAAACAATGTGATGAGGAACATTAATACTCTTAGCCAGAATTAATTGAGCATTCTTATGTACCTGGCACTGTGCTGGACACTACATGCATTTCTTTTCTTATTTCTCAAGATAACAAGGCAGGTATGATTGTCCCCAGTTCACTCATAAGAAAAATAAGGCATTGAGTCAAAGTAATGTTCAAAGTAATCTTGTTTCACAGCCTTTCAAACCCTGTGGATTTGAAGTCTGTATTCTCTGTACCCCTTTCCTACTGTTCTAATCCAGCCAGTCCCCAGATGAGAGCCTGAGAGGGGTCTGAGAATTCTAAGTCATTAATGCAAGTAATAAAGTTGATTGAGTATGAAGATTATATCCTAAAGTGATCTCTCAAGCTGGGAAGAACCATGTTTAGAGTGTTTAAGGACTGCATAGTAGTAGCTTCATCAGTAGCATCCAGCCTCGTTAACTGTCAGCTCAGCACCCTCATCTGCAGAATTGATGATAATGCTTTTCCCACCTCCATTAACTGCTTTTTTTTTTTAACTTATTATTTCTTCAGAATTTCCAGATGATATTAATCCTGTTACAAAAGAGAAAGGTGGACCCAGAGGCCCAGAACCTACCCGATACGGAGATTGGGAACGAAAAGGACGCTGTATTGATTTTTAAGCCACATGTTGTTTAACTGCAGTATCTTTTTCTGATAGTGTACCTCTGAATTAACTTATTTTTGATTATTGTCTTTCTGTACATCACTTAAGTCTCCTTATTTCTATAATGTGTTTTAAAATATATGTGATAGCTTTGGAAGAAAATATGCTGCTATAAATTAGGAAAGAGGAAATATTTTTACATTAGCATATTTTAATTTAAATGTTTTGGAGTATTTAAGGGATGATTAGAGATGCAAACTTTCATTTCTTCATGTTTCAATTTAAGTTGACCAGTTGTTTATAAAATACAAGTGTAAATAAAACATTTTAAAAATGATTCTGTTGCCATGTTCTAAGTAATTGCGACTTTTTCAACGTGGGTTAAGTAGTGCACTACAGTTTGGTAAGGCCACAGTAACAACAGATAATCTTTAACTCTGGGGCCAATTACTTGGGTTCAAATCCCAGCTCTACTGCTCACTAGCTTATGTAACTTTGAGTAAGTTATTTAACTTCTCTGTGCTTCAGAATCCTTACGTGTAAATTGGAGGTAATACTAGTTCCACCTCATAGGACAGTTGCTATTAAATGAGTGACTATGTATGAACCACTTGGAGCAGTGTATAGCACATACCTCTCAGTGAGTTAGTGATCCTTACATCATAAATGTATTTTCTCAGGTCTCTAGGCTGCCTGGGGGGAAAGGTTAAAAAACTGACATTTGAAATACTTGAATTGAAATTGTTTTATATGAATATAACATATAAAAAACCACTAGTTAGATATTAGTGATTATTTGCATGGATGAACTGAGCTGAAATGTAGTTTCTGTTAAACATTAAGTTCAAGCTAATATGAGAAAAGCAGGGGATGAAATGGGCCAGCTTAGTTCATCAGTTTTGAGCATTCAAAAGCTCCTACCCTGTGGCCTTTGGATAACTGGGTTGGGAAGAGTCAAGTCGAGCTTACAGACCTGGGATCTGCTGAACCCTTATAAGGTGTCCTTCACTCTCTGGCCTCACGCAGCCACCGGACTGGACCTTCGGTCCCCAGTCTACATTTAAACAACTCGGGAAGGAAGGTTTGCAGAGCATGTAGAGTGCAGCAGGCTGGTGATATGTGACATGGGCTATGAGTGCAGTATTATCTGAGAAGATTGTAGGAAGGCTTGTTTAACGAGAATAAGCTTTCTTTTTTCTTTGGAAAAAAAAATAAACTGTTTAAAAAGGGTATCCTACTTCAAACCATCCAGTGTGGTAACTGGGATTAGTTACTCAGTCTTTGTATCAGTTATCTCTCTCAGTCAGCATTTGTTCTTCTAATTACAGTTACTCTGTCTGCTGCGAAGTAGTAACCACATTTCTTTAAAAATATTCTATAATTTAGTATACTGTATTGGTCTTTATCTTTCTGTCTTACTTCACTCTGTATAATGGGCTCCAGTTTCATCCATCTCATTAGAACTGATTCCAGTGAATTCTTTTTAATGGATGCATGAGACAAGTGCTCAGGGCTGGTGCACTGGAAAGACCCAGAGGGATGGGATGGGGAGGGAGGTGGGAAGGGGGATCAGGATGGGGAACACATGTAAATCCATGGCTGGTTCATGTCAGTTCAGTTCAGTCGCTCGGTCATGTCCGACTCTTTGTGACCCCATGAATCACAGCACATCAGGCCTCCCTGTCCATCACAAACTCCTGGAGTCTGCTCAAACTCATGCCCATTGAGTCGGTGATGCCATCCAGCCGGCTCATCCTCTGTCGTCCCCTTCTCCTCCTGCCCCCAGTCCCTCCCAGCATCAGGGTCTTTTCCAACAAGTCAACTCTTCACATGAGGTGGCCAAAGTATTGGGAGTTTCAGCTTCAGCATCAGTCCTTCCAATGAACACCCAGGACTTATATTTCCTTCAGGATGGACTGGTTGGATCTCCTTGCAGCCCAAGGGACTCTCAAGAGTCTTCTCCAACACCATAGTTCAAAAGCATCAATTCTTCAGTGCTCAGCTTTCTTCACAGTCCAACTCTCACATCCATACATGACCACTGGAAAAACCATAACCCTGACCAGACGGACCTTTGTTGGCAAAGTAATGTCTCTGCTTTTTAATATGCTCTCTAGGTTGGTCATAACTTTCCTTCCAAGGAGTAAGCATCTTTTAATTTCATGGCTGCAGTCACCATCTGCAGTGATTTTGGAGCCGCCAAAAATAAAGTCTTGACACTGTTTCCACTGTCTCCCCATCTATTTCCCATGAGGTGATGGGACCAGATGCCATGATCTTAGTTTTCTGAATGTTGAGCTTTAAGCCAACTTTTTCACTGTCCTCTTTCACTTTCATCAAGAGGCTTTTTAGTTCATCTTCACTTTCTGCCATAAGGGTGGTGTCATCTGCATATCTGAGGTTATTGATATTTCTCCTGGCAACCTTGATTCCTGCTTGTGCTTCTTCCAGCCCAGCGTTTCTCATGATGTACTCTGCATATAAGTTAAATAAGCAGGGTGACAATATGCAGCCTTTGACAAACTCCTTTTCCTATTTGGAACCAGTCTGTTGTTCCATTTCCAGTTCTAACTGTTGCTTCCTGACCTAATGTATGGCAAAAATCACTACAATTTTGTAAAGTAATTAGCCTCAAACTAATAAAAATAAATGAAAAAAAAACCAAAAATATTCTATAGTCAACCCCCAGTGAATTTTTGCTAATTTTAACATTACAGAAATAATCTATTCAATTTGTTCATTAATATTAATTGTTATTTTGTACCATGTAGTTTTGCTTGTGTTCCACACTAATCATCATATGTGATACACAAAAGACAATTTAGATACTTCAAAAACAAATATAAAATATGTTGCAATGAAGTGTATTAAAATAATAGAATCCTTAACCTCCATTAACAATAGCATGTTTCAGGATAGTTATATATTAAGAGGTAAAATCTGCTGGCATAAAAACATTTATAGTCTTTTTTTTTTTTTTAATGTATAGTCTTTATGTCCATCAAACATTCATGAAAGAACCTGAAGACTCACGGGAGATGATGTGGTGGCAATGGAAGTGTGTTACTCAGATCTCCTTCGAGAAGCAGAGTGGACGGAGGACCCCAGCTGCTGCCCCTGGGACCCACCACTGTGTTCCTGATGAAGCTACACGTCCCCCACCAGTGAGTGGGTGTGGTGGGACTGCGGTGAATGAGTGTGCTGGCCTGGCCCCCAGAGACTCCCACGAGCCTTGCAGGCTTTTCTCACGGCTGTGCTGCTGAGTGAGACTCTTCCCTCCCAACCCTTCATCCCCGCTCTCCGCTCTTCACAGGTGTCAGACTCAGCCTCCTCCTTCCGTTTATAGCTCACAAATGTCGTCCCAGTAAATCTCTTTCATGTTTAATCCCATCTTAGCATCTGTTTCTCAGAGAAACCAAACTAAACATGGATAATTATAAAAGAACAACTTACAGGTTTTCAGAAAATGTCATGTAAAGTTTGTGGCTTTTTCGAGTATAATTATAATTTAAACACTAATTTTACATTGGAGATTTCTGGGAAATTGTAGGTTCAGCATTGGTGTACAAAGTGCCATAGTTTGAGTCTTGTACCTAGTAGGTGTTTTGGTGGAATTGAATCATTTCCGGCATTTTTTTCTTACTTTGATGTCAGTTGCTATAACCCACCATAAGCCAAAATACAATATTATCAGCTATTAAACTGTTAAACCTACTATTACCTCTTCCAACAATACAAGAGACGACTCTACACGTGGACATCACCAGATGGTCAATACCAAAATCAAATCCATTATATTCCTTGCAGCTGAAGATGGAGAAGCTCTATACAGTCAGCAAAAGCAAGACCTGGAGCTGACTGTGGCTCAGATCATGAGCCCCTTATTGCCAAATTCATACTTAAATTGAAGAAAGTAGGGAAAACCACCAGACCACTCACGTATGACCTAAATCAAATCCCTTATTACACAGTGGAGGTGGTGAATAAATTCAAGGGATTAGATCTGGTAGACAGAGTGCCTAAAGAAGGACAAATGTTTGTAACATTGTACAGGAGGACGAGACTAAAATCATCCCCAAGAAAAGAAATGCAAGAAGGCAAAATGCTTGTCTGAGGAGCCTTACAAAATAGCTGAGAAAAGAAGAAGAAGGCAGAGAAGAAAGGGAAAGATAGGCCCAACTGAGTGCAGAGCTCCAGAAAATAGCAGGGAGAGGCAGGAAAGCCGTCTTAAGTGAACAGTGAGGATGGGAAAGATTAGAGATATCTTCAAGGAAATGAGAGATACCATTTCATGCAAAGATGGGCTCAATAAAGGACAGAAATGGTATGGACCTAACAGAAGTGGAAGCAATTAAGAAGAGGTGGCAAGAATACACAGAAGAACTGTACAAAAATGGTCTGAATGACCCAGATAACCATGATGGTGTGATCAGTCACCTAGAGCCAGACATCCTGGAGTGTGAAGTCAAGTGGGCCTCAGGAAGCATTACTACAAATAAAGCTAGTGAGGTGATAGAATTCCAGCTGAGCTATTTCAAATCCTAAAAGATGATGCTGTGAAAGTGCTGCACTCAATATGCCAGCAAATTTGGAAAACTCAGCAGTGGCCACAGGACTGGAAAAGTTCAATTTGAATTCCAGTCCCAAAGAAAGGCAATGCCAAAGAATGTTCAGGCTACTGCAATTGCACTCACTGTACAAACTGTACAATTGTGTGCGTTTGACATGCTAGCAAGATAATGCTAAAAATCCTTCAAGCTACGGTTCAACAGTATCTGAACTGAGAACTTCCAGATGTACAAGCTGGATTTAGAAAAGGCAGAGAAGCCAGATATCAAATTGGCAGTATCTGATGGATCATAGACTTGTTGGGAAAGACCCTGATGCTGGGAGGGATTGGGAGCGGGAGGAGAACGGGATGACAGAGGATGACATGGCTGGATGGCATCACTGACTCGATGGGCATGAGTTTGAGTAAACTCTGTGAGTTTGTGATGGACAGGGAGGCCTGACGTGCTGCGGTTCATGGGGTCACAAACAGTCGGACACAACTGAGCTACTGAACTGAACTGAACTGATGGATCATAGAAGAAGCAAAGGAATTCCAAAAACCATCTGCTTCATTGACTACACTAAAGCCTTTTACTGTGTGGATCACAACAAACTGGAAAATAGGAATACCAGACCACCTTACCTGTCTCCTGAGAAACTTGTATGCAGGTCAAGAAGCAACAGAGCCAGACATGGAACAATGGACTGGATCCAAATAGGAAAAGAAGTACGTCAAGGCTGTATATTGTCACCCTGCTTATTCAACTTACATGTAGAATGCATCAT